AGTGGGGCTCCAACTATTATCTATTCATGGATTCATCGAAACCCAGCTTTTTGTTCCTTGATTGTTAGAGGCTCTGCGAGCTACAACTCCAGTTAGAGGGCTTCTTCACTCTTCCACATTAGTTGCCGCTGGAGTGTGGTATATCTGCTGTTATGATTGCTTATTTGGTGGTTTATCTGTTGCTAAAGTTGTTAATTTTATTGCCTCTGGTGACCAAGATTTCATTCAAACATTTCTGAAGGTTTACGAATATAAAATTCTTTTTCAGACAGTTACTCCGTGCCAGCCTTAAAACAGCGAAGGTATGAAGACCAAGATGGTGTGGCCTTTTGTGTGGTCGCAGTCTCCTTTCGTTGTTTAGAAGTTGTTTGATCTTGTTTTCGCAACATGGTCATGTTGGTAGGACGACTTAGAGGAACGTACCTAGTCCGGAGACCATTGTATGCATCATCATTTCCAGAGTAGGATCGTGGACGTGGTACATTCCCAGACATTTCGCCGGCATCATATTCGGCATCATCAGTGATTCTCGCCATTTGTAGCAACATATTATTTGTCCATTTGACGAGTTGTAATATGGTGCTACGAATGGCGAGACTCACTGACAATGCTGACTACGATGCCGGCCAAATGTCTGGGAATGTACCACGTCCACGATCCTACTCTGGAAATGATGATGTATACAATGGACTCCGGACTAGGTGCGTTCCTCTAAGTCTTACTACCAACATGACCATGTTGCGAAAACAAGGTCAAACAACCTCTTAAAACAGCGACTTTTTAACGCTACTCCCGCATGTAACTGTCAAGACGCCTACTTCTTCCGGTAATACTCTGCTGTACCAAAGTATGGCTCTAGTTGATTTCAGTCTGGATGGTCTTAACTCCGGTCAACTAGCTCTGGTGTACTTAGGCTCCCGGTATTTGTCAATCTTCGAGTAAAAGAGAAATTAGTCAGCAGGCCGAAACAATAAAAAGTTTCTACCATTGTTCCCTTCTCTCGCTTTTCTCTCTTTGTACATTCACCCCTGCCTCCTGGGCACAAAGCCTCCTTTCGCTGCCAGTGCTGCTTTAATTCACTCTCTTGGACAACATGAACTGTCACCAGGGCCATAAGCTCACCAGCTGACTCTGTTGGTGATGGTGAAGCCGACAGCAGAGGACCTGAGCTGGGATTGTAACCAAGACGAGCTGAAATGACGGATAATATGGTGAGCAGGGTGAGGAGTGGGGATTGGAGCGAGTGGAGGAGGCAATCTCATATGACCCGGATACAAGCTGCTAAGTCAGGGTGACAACATCGATTTTTTACAACACTCGCTACTCTCGCTGCCGGGGCAACTGATTATGCCAACTGCAAACGGTCTACTCCTGTCTAATTGTAGGCCTTGCTTTATATTTTTATATCCACTTTATTAAAATGACAAGCCACTTATTCACACTCCCATTTGCTCTTGCCCCCCATAATTCTCTACACTTGTCTGCCTGTGTCTTTGCCACACAAAAACAATTGAGGCCGAACTTGTTAACACATAAACACCGGCCTGTTATCTACAACGGCGGTATATCGCTGTTACACAAGTTAGATGAGAATGATGCATATGTGGATCCTACAGACACACATACACACATTGATACACATACATACAGCAACGCATAAAAATTAATGAATAAAGAGCTCTCTCTCTCTTTATAAATATATATATATATATATATATATACAAGGCTATTAACTTATCTTTATGCGTTA